AAAATCTGAGTGCTCTTCAGCAAATATTTCTTTTTCAGAGAATTAAAAGAAATGTGGAAGGAGAAGGAACACTCTTCTAGGTCCTAGCTGGTTGATTTTCAGCTGTAGTTTTAAGAACTGCTGCAGCATTCCATGATAGTGCCACTAAACATAGGCAGTTCATGCATGCTGTAGTACTTACACCCAATTAATCAATTAAAACTTAATTTAGATGTACATGTGGGAGCAAGAAGTTGTTAACTTGTGTTCTCTTCTCTGGTTAAATACCTTTTCCCACTGAACTTTTCCCAGACAGAGGTGGTACCTTGGCTCCCAACTAAATCAGTGTGCCACTATAAACCACTTTTCCCATAAAAGCAAATTTTTATTTCAAACAAAATTATTGAGGTCCAAAACTGAAGTCAGTTTAAAGGTGGAATGTATTAACACTAATTTATTTTCTTCTGAGGGTGGAATTATTATAAAAATAGTTTTGTTAAAAAATTACACCAGGAATAATAGCCAAGTTGAAATTTCTGCCTGCTAAAGAGATCAGAAAACCATATTCAGCCAGAAGGATTTTACTTTCTGAAGCAAAATATCTATAAATCTGGCAATGTCCAAGAGCCAACCTGTAATGAATCATAACTGAGGTGAAAATGCTTAATAGGTGTATTTTTCAGCACAAATGCACTTTCACGTTTGATTAGTGCTGAAGATGCACCCGTATGGCTCCTATACAGTGTCATGAAGAGACACCAGTGTTAAACTTGAAAGCAACAGACATGAATTGTGGGCATTTGGGAGTGAACTCTGTGTTTTAGAGGGGAGACAAAAAAGAAGAAAAGAAAAACCAAAACCCAACCCCAAAAGAGCAAAGGAACCACATGTGACACATGAACCAGCTGCAAAAGCCCTCTGACTCAGTCACACAGCCTTTATTTTTTAGCTAAGGGTGTCCAAGACTAGCTCATGTCAGGCAAAAGAATTGTCTAAATCATCAATGTGTTGGAGTTACTTGGAGCTGCATAGAAGCCTGAGGAGCATTTGACTGCATTTCTTCAATATCTATCTATCAATAGATATTAGCTATGCACATTTAGCAAAATTCATTTCCTTTCAAGAAAAGTGCAAGTAATATTAAGTGTCTATAAGATTTATTCTTATTTTGTAACATGAATTTCCCCTCTAATTCTGCCACAATTTTATGTTTTTTAGGAAAGTGTTATAAAGTTAAGACTTTATAGTCTTTAAGACTTCTCTCTACTAAAGTGCAGCCTTCATTCCTCTTCCTCGAGATTTGTTTTAGATTAAGACTTTTCTGGCTATCACATGAACAAAATAGTGAAATATCCACTGGGACTTCATTTGTGTGTGTTTAAACTTGGTTTTCAAATTGGATATAAAGTGATAATTATGAGGTTTTATGAAGTGCTTCTCAATTTCAATGCACTACACAAAGAGAAACTGTTCAGTTTTCAATAGTCTTGCGAGGCAGGAAGATAAATAAAGTTTCATTACCCAGATTCTTGTTTCATAGGTGGGCCATAGAGATTCAAACCAATATTTCCATATGCAATTCCCCATGCCTGAGTACTTTTGCAAAAATAGCCTAGTTTTCATTTCTCAGCTGGCAAACTTCCACACGGCTCATATATGGTTTTATGGCACACAGGTTGCACAGAATCCCTGAAAATGGACCTCCTTTGAAGGGTACCATCATTATGAAAACTTCTCCCTAGTTTTCTCATGGCCACACAGCGAATGGGATGAGAGCTGCATCAGGCTGCAAGAGGACTTACTGCTTTGCTCTCTCCCCAGTGTGCCAGGTCTGCCTACTTGAAGTATTTCCAAGTAAAAATCATTGTGTCTGAGCTGACTGACTGTGGTCCTGATTCTGCACAGAACTAGGCGTGACTTCATGCATGCCAACAACATAATTAGCTCCAAGAATCCTGGCTGCATTAAATCCACGCACACCTTTTTGGAGTGCAAAAGTAAAGGAAGTTTGAATGCAATCCTTCCTTTTTTACATCCAGTTGAATTTTGACCCTAGAACATGAACTCATTCCAACAGTTATTTCTCCGTACAAAACTGAAGAAGCAAGTACTTTTAAACAGCATTACTTTGTGTTTGGGTTTGTTTTTTTTCTTAAGCAGATAGTAGCAAACTATATAAGATGGTCAGGGCTTGCAGGGGGGCCAGTAGGAAGGAGGGTGTTGTTGACTGAGCATTCACCCTGCACACACAGCTGCACGTGAGGCACCGTAACGTCGTCGCCATCGTTATTTTTTAAAGCAGCAGAACCAAAGGTTAATTGCTTGCATTTACTGCACAGTTCAAAGTGACCTCATGCAAAAGCTTTAGCCTAACAGCTGCCTGAGCTTTACAGCCTGAAATTTCGTACCATTTGTTGGAATTACCTTTTAATTAGCCCTTTGGGGGTATATGTGGTGTTTATTGATTAATCCTTCAGTAGCTGTTTTTGAGATAATATATTAGTTCTCTGTGTTGGGTTGCCCAGTCACACTCTGCTGTTCCTCCACTCTTCTTTTGCAGTGTTGGGTGTGGGCAACAGCACAAAGGGAGAGGAGAGGAGAGGAGAGGAGAGGAGAGTCAGGCTTTTTGGCTTTAGTGCTGTGCTTTTCCTAATATGACTGCAACTGTGACATAGACTAGCATCACCAGGAGAGACATTAACTGTTTGGCCCCACTTTCCCACCTATCTTCTGGAGTAACTAGAAGCCTATGGTACCATGGGTGGTGCCATCAGTCGCCAAAGATGGTGGCAAGAGCTTAAGATAGCTAGATTTTGTTACTTCAGCAGTGCCAACAGAGAGAAATAAAAAGCATGAGGTCCTGTCATGCTGGGGGATGGAAAGACAGTCTTTTCTTGAGTTAGTTGGATGAAATAGGAAGAGTGAGGAGATAAGGAGGGAGAGGAGATTGCCAGGACAGGACAGGGGAGGTGCAGTGGCAGTCTGGACTGTGACAGCCTGACTACTGCAAAGGGAAGCAGCACGAGTGAGAGCTGCTGAGGAAGAGGTAGACACAAAAAGCATCATCAAATATCACACCCACCCACTGCATGCACAGTCATTTTGTGCCAGGTGGAACTGTAAAGAGCTACAGGAAAATACAGGATTTCCTTACACTTTTTCCTCAGGGCCATGGTTTTAACTCCTGTTTTCTGCCTGGTCCTCCCAGCTGCCACTGATCTCAACAGGACATGATTCTAGAGGATCCTCACACTTCAGCCTGCTGAAACTATCTTTGGTTTTGTTGACTTCCAGCACTGATTTGGGGGAAGAATTTTCAGGGGTCCAGTCAACCTACCTGTTTATTCCTGCCTCACCTCTTACCATTTCTGCTCAACTCCTCTAGGTCCACCAGACTGCATGGTTTGCCTGCAATGAACTCCCTGCCCTGCCTAGACTTTGTGAGAAACATGGGGCTTTAAAAATTAGCATATATCTGTGTGGGAAATACACATCCTTATAAGCTTATGAGCAGAAATAATAAATTAAAAAAAAAGAGTAAGTTGATAACTATCCCAGCTCCCATAGTAATGTTCAACTAAATGCATTATTTTCTCCTGCCTGTCTCCCACCAGCACTACTTAGTTCAGCATTTTGGAAAAAGAAGGAGACAATAGATGCTGCATTTGCTGATGGGCTCACAGCCAGATGTTTGAAAATGCTCTACAGTACTTAACAGAGTTGGGTACCTGTGGGTTGTAGTTGTCATCTAGTGATCAGTAGTCAGATGCTCATTGTTGTACCAGCACTGAAACTCAGATGAACTGCAAGTTTCAGCCACAGAAGCTCTATCTAATAACACTATTTTTTTGTTTACTGTGTGGGAATAATTTTTAAACTCTATTTGACCAAACTGCTTGAGAAGCCAAGGCTGTGGCTTTATGTTCTGGCAGAGATAAATTAACAGTTTTCTGCCACCCATTATAGGGTTTTTTCCCTTCCACTGCTCTCCCATCACAAAGGAAATTAATTCAACTTTGTAACTCACAAAAATCTTTATTAGCAGATTGATTTTCCACTATTATAACAAGCAATAGTGTGTTGGCTTAACAGGCAACTAGAGGACCACCAGGACTAACCCATGGTAATTGGCAGAAGTGCATGTCTGGATGTGAGGAACAGGGAAGAACAAAACCTTCCTTTTTTTCCCCTGTTATTTTTACTCCCTTTTTTTCCTGTTTTTTTTTTTTTACTTATACAGTGAGCTGAAAATACACACTGAGATGCAAATACACAGTGCCATATAGCAAGTCAACAACCACTTATTCAACCACTGTGTCACTCTGCTTCTCTTTCAATGAGAATTTTCATCTTGAAAATGTTGAACAGGACTTTCTGCTCATTAGCCAATGGATCCTTGCAGCTTTCCTGCAAAAAGCTGGTCAGCAGGGTTCTCCTGCTTTGCAGATGAAAATTCTGAACCAGGGCAGCCAAGATCAGTCATTTACTCAGTGACTGCAAAAAGCTAATTCAGAATTTCTAGCTCTCTGTCAGCCTTCTGCATACCCTGCCTTTATGCTCACCTCCACTAGCCAGATCTTCCTAAAGAACAGCAAGGACTTGTTTAGCTTTTCTATTTGAAAGACAAAATGAGCTCCCCTTCAGGGAACTCTTAACCAAGGCCACTGATCATGCGAGATTTAAACACCGGTTTTCACTTTGAAGAAAGACCATGGAAGGACTCCTGATTGGAGTGGTGCGTGTACATGAGGCATCACCTGAATTCCGATCTCTGGAAGCCAGCAAAAGTTAGATAGAAAAGCAAGCAAGAGCAATTCAGGGGCCATGCTGAGTCTGTCTACAATGACATGGAAAATGCCGGTTCTCTGTGACCAGCTCAAAATGCTTTCATTGCTGGATGATCTCTGCTGCAGAGATCTGCTGGGTGTCTCTTCTTACATTAACCCCTTTTGCACAAGACAAGCCAGTACCAGGTAAGAAAGCAAAGCAGATTACTCAAGTAACTTAGGCTTTTTTCTTACTTTATACCAAGATGCCGTCTGGTAGGCAATGGAGGAGTCCCGAAGAACTTTACAGGGCAGCAAGACTTCTTCAGCACATCTCACAGCAACATCTGGGACTGCCACAGAAGCCTCACTGATGAAGCACCAACCTGCAAAGCACAGGTCCACATCACCTTTAAAAGAGATTGCCCAGGTATATCCCCCGTGTTATCCCAAAACACATACTCATAAAATAAATGCGAAAGACCAGAATGAAAAAGGCAAAGTTCCCCACTTACCGTTGCACAGGGTGATGAGCAAAGAGTAGAGTACCAAAGGCATGGCTTTTGCTATTCCAAATCACAGAGCAGCAACAGTGTGCCTCTTTGTAGGACGGACTGTGAGAGCCAAGTGAAACTGCTACTGCTTCTAGAGGGGTATTTCTGGAGGCAGACTGGGGAATCCCCCCAGCTTATCTTGAAGTTCCCTGTCACAGGGAAAATCCCTACGTGTAAGAGCCAGAGCTCCTCCTATTAAAGCCATTATGTCACTCTCATTTCTGCAACTGCCAGCGCTGGCAGCACCTCACCTTCCTTTTTTCCTTTTTTTATTCTCTCTTCTGTGTTGATCTGAACAGATACAAGGTTGAACGTGGGCCACTCTGGGGCAGTGTGAAAGGCATCAAAATCAGCACCGAAAACATATCTCTCTTGAGTAATAAAAAGCAAGGGAGAGGGTTTGCCAGCCTCCCAGAATCCCCTCTCAACTCTCTCTCCACAGCTCTAACAGAACACTGTCTGTGCAAAGGTTGGCCAAATGAAGCAACATTTCTGAAAACACGTTTAAGACCTCAGGTCATAACATCATGAGGACGCTGTGAGTTGGGGCTGAGGGATAAGCAGGAATTTACAGCATGGCTGTAAATACAAACTATACAAATACAAACTGTATTTCTGTAGTGTTACAAGTGTAACTCCCCATGTAGGCACTTGTGATGTAGAAGCAGCATCTCTTCTTAGTGTATTTTGTCATTTTCAAGACAAGCAGAGGCAGCTGGAATTAAATAATTCTACAAAATTATATGCTGGAAAATTTCCTCATGAAAAAAAAAAATCCAGGCAGCTGCCAGAAGAGGAACCATTTGGACATCCCCTCTAGATATGTGAAAAAGAAAAAAACAAAAAAAACCAAAACAAAACAAAAACAATAGTCCTTTCCTTGTAATGTGTAAGTGTTGTTTCCCCCTGGAGAATTTTTGAGGAAGTCTGAAGCTGATCACAGAAACATTTACAAATAATGAAACTCAGAAAGTTGCTGATGTGTTATTTTTGGAAACCAGTTCTGGCTGCTGCGTTTAGACTGGTAAGATCATGATGGAGAGAAGCAACTTGTGAGGGGGAACAGTTGAGTTTTGATGGGTGAAGAATGTATGGTCTGTCTCTTTTGAAAACTAGGTTCCTGAAAGCCACATCAGGCTGGGCACCGTAAAGCCAAATCTCCTCTAGAAGTTTTGTGAGGAGAAGTCGGTTTGGCAAGTCCTCAGCCTGCAAAAGTCCAACTCAGATGGGTAAACACTGTGGGTGGGTAACACTTTTGGAAACTCCCATCTGTTCTGTGAGGGAAGGTAGACAGCAACTTGCCTTGCTGTTGAAACAGGCTACTTATTTTTAAAGCTTTTTGCTTCTGTCTTCACTGCCAGACATAGTAAATATAACAAGCTCTAAGTTTTTTTTCTCTTTGTGTTTTTCAGTTTCAAGGACCTCATTCTGTTACTTAGAAGACGAGCACAAGTAAAATGTAAATCCCAGTGGGTCTCTCTAGGGGGAGAGAAAGTCCTGAACTCTCACTTCTTTCTCCTGTGTGAAATAATCGTCCTTGAGAAGACAGACCGGTGGGGGGGAGAGTAGGGGAGGATGTACTGAAAACAATCTTGAAGAGAAGAGGGGTCCAGTTAATATATTTCACATCTGTTCTTCACAAAAATGATGGTTCTCCTGCCCCCATGAGTCATTCACACATCAACCCCACCTCCAAGAGGGGCACTCAGCTTTAACCCAAGTGCCTCTTACTGTAAATCCTGCAAAGCTACATATTTACTCATCATAAACCAGTCAACAGGCAAAAACCTTTTCTACCTCCCTTTTCATTGTGGGGAAACCCCAGTGAGCACACCACAGTAAGCTCCTGCCCCTGCTGGGGTCAGCCCACAGCAATCTTCCCCAAAACAACCTGACCAGATGTAGTAGCTGTGGCAACGCTGAAGTCTGAGGTCACACATTTGCCCACACAGAAGTGTGCTGAAGATAAGGCATAAATGGTCATGCTTCAGTGTGATCTGGGAAATGCACATGCTACACACACTTGCCAAGGTGATGTCAAACAACATTCCTCCTCTTTTAGTAAAATACAGGAGCCAGGACTCTTAAAAACAAAGGGCTTTTCCTCTAGGGCAGGAACAGCTTCAAGCAAAACAGCTCTTTTCCTCCAGAAGTATTTGCAGGCTCAGCTGCTGTTCCACAGCACAGTATGTGAAGCAAGAGAGCAAGGTCTGAAAGACAAAAACTGAAACTCCCTTAGCTGGGAGAGTTACTTCTAAACTTTCCCCGGCTGGGATTTTTTTCTTTAGATAAACTTTGAACTGGACTGTACTTTCCATCCTAATTTTAATATCATTTGTAGGTTATCTCCAGAGCCCTACAAGCTGCTTTGTCTTCGTTTTCACCCCAGTCCTGTGCAGTGGGAGCAATGGGAGCTCAGCAGGATGGGTTCAGGTGTGGGAATGCAGAGGCAGCTACTGAGAAACAGATCCACAGCTTTGCAGGGCCCTCAGGAAATGCAGGAGCTGCACAGTTAATCAGTAAACACAGTGTAAGTTTATCAGCAAACGCATTGTTCTCTGGACCTAATCAGAACTGCTTTCCTACATGTGTCCCATCTCCTCTTCCTGGCCTTTCCTCACCTGTACCACTCACTACATCAACCATAAGCCCTCAGTCTCGCAGAGCAAGAAGCACCATCTGCTCTGGTGCGTCCAGAGCTGCACACGTGATGACTGACATTAGCAAGCAGTATGTAAACCAGCTGCATTCTGCCCACCTTACCCTGAGCAAGGCCACTTTGGATCTCTGTCTTTGACCCAGCTGCTGATTTTCATTAATTTCATAGGCACTTAATTCTCTTTGAGCCCAAATCCCTCTGTCAGTTTGATAGAAAGCAGGTTCAGAACATACTGGCTGATAGACAGCCAGATGGCATGATCACAGAAACTTCATTCTCTGTGGGAAATGAGGCTAGAAGCACAAGGATGCAGTATGGATTCATGGGATAAGGTTAAAAAGTCAAGATTGTGTATTTTTTTTCCACGTTGGTAGAGCCTTGAGAAAGGTGTTCATGGAATCATATCCTCTTTTCTTGAGCCAGGTAGGTACTGGCTCCCTCAGATACTTGGGTAGAGGATTTTTTGTTATTCTTTTCATTCCAGTGTGTGGCTGCAAAATATATGTAAGATTCCTTCTTCTTTCATGTATTTGCTCCTCTGTGCCAGCATTCATCAGAAAGCACAGAAATCCAAAAAAACCCCCCAAAACCTTAGGTCTTTATGTGGAGTGTAGAGCTGTCCACATGGAAGAATCAAAGGTGTCAAAATAGCATTTAGCATTTGTGGCAAGGCACAGATTTTTCCGTATAGGTATATTATTATCAAATATTGATTGTTCCACTGCATTTCAGTTCCTGCTTTGGATAAGGTCCATCCATGCACCTCATGTCTATTGTGAAGCCACTGGCAAGGGGGGTTAGTTCTTTATTTTTATACTTATTAACCTCCTGTGCAGCAATAAAAACAAACTGCTTTATTTCAAGTGACAAAACCAGGAAGGCTTTGGGTTTATGTTTTAGTAGACAACCATTGCTTAAATAACGTAGTGTGTGTCATGTGGCACAGTCAGCAAAAGGAACAGTGACAAAAGAATCCGCAGCTACAAATGCAGAGTAGACACGTGTTTTGAGGGGCCCAGTAGAGCTGCCATCACAGTGTTTACTTTCCTGTCATGCTGGAGTCTTGACACTCACCACACCAACAATTAAAAGCAACTGAGAGTTTTCAGATTGCAGCTAATGAGAGGTACACAGATCATTCCCAAACCTGAGTTAGCAAAGTTTAAGAACAAAGGTCTCTTCTCTGCCCCTTCATGGCAGATGCTGGGTCAGGGCCTGCCTCTGCTGTTCAAACAGTGGCAATCCAGCAATACTGAAAAACCAAAACATTGGAACTGTGACCTGCTGGGCAGAGCAGAGCTTCCTGCTGCAGATTGTCTCCCGCTGCCAGCTCAGTAAATAACACCCAATTAATTACACACAAACAGCCACTTCTCTGAAACGCCTGGACTTCGGAGTAAACTGTTTGAGATGTGCCAGCCCTGTTTGTCAAAGCAGTGACTGAGCATACTCAAGTCGAAATTGAAATGTGACCCAATACAGACCCAAAATGGAGGTATCCAAAATCAGAAGCCTCTTTAGAAACTGTTGGCCTGGGAGTGAGGGAACTGCCTTTAAGCAAACGGGAGCAAGAGCTTATCCCATGTCTATAAATGCCAGTGTAAGAACTGGAGTAAGGCTGTACTGAAGCTGTACCTAGTCCAGCATCTTGCCTCCAACAGCAGTCAGTGAGCTATCAGGCAGCCAAGAAGGACAAAGTGCTGCATTGAAACATCAGTGTCTGCTGGACGTGCCCATTGAGATCTCATTTTTAACAGGTCCTTGGTTCTTCTTTTATCATCAGCATGCTAGATAGTGCTGGTGTCACCAGGACTAGGGACATATTGGATCAAGGTTTGCTAACTTTGGTGGACTTTCTACTGCTCCTCCTCCATGTGGGGTCATCCATGCTGCCTTCTCCAGAAAGAAAGGAGCAGATTATTGACTGCTGTCTCTACTGTATTATGCAACAGGAGTCCCCACGTAGTGCCAGCCTTGTAGAGCTCCTTCTTGGACCTTGCATCTCCTTACCACATTCAGCCTGGCACTGCTTTAGTGCAGATCAAATGTGCAGCTGGTCTGCCCTCAGATCATGCTGTGGAAATACTTAACTCCTCCTGGTGCTCTTCTTTCTTGTCTCTTCCCTGTACATCCTCCCTAGATATAAATGCTATGAGACTTCTTATACTGAAAGAGAATGAAGGATCACAGTAGGCCACATTGTACTCCTAGCTGATCCCATGGCCCACCAGCAATGGAAATCAGGAACTTCTCCTGGGAGTAGCCTGTGCTAACAGCAGGTCTCCCAGGTTTCCCAAGTGTTTTGTGCCATCTGGGGACCTGACCATGCACACAGACCAACTGTG